CGTGATTTGTGTCGTTGTGCTCAGATAAGCACTGAACTTTTCACAACATCAATTTGAGTGTTTAGATGTTTGCAATTTTCCAAGAAGAGATTCATTTTAATGCCGGGGCCTTGGTTGGGTCGTGGTTAGCAAGGTGTCTAGCATTGGAAATGATATATTTCATGTCTTTCAGGGCCGTAAATCAAAACAGACCAATGGGATTATAGATAATAGTCCTGTTAAAAAATACTGCGCGGACATTGTCGTTGGCGTTAAATGTCTTTGTCTACTATACAAATATTTTATTCCAGTACTCATGACACGTGCTTTTGAATTCACCAGACGATCTGAGTCGAGATTTCAAGCGAGGACACCATTCATTTCTCACACCCGATGTCTAGCTGTCTGTGAACAATACGCTAACCATAAAACAACCCGGCTCTGAGACATCGCAGATTCGACTTTGAGGTGAGTGGTCACGTTTTGCCCTGCTGTTATGTATTTATTGTGAATGGTGTTTGTGATGGTACATACTCTTCTCATGAAAGCACCGTGAGCTGTTATAATGTTTCTGTTCTGACGACGGCGTTTCTACCTTCCAGCATGCTTCCGAAGTAAAAATGCCCCTCCCCCCTTTCCCCTCCACACATCTTGTTTTTTAACCGCCCGGGCAAAAAGAAAAAAGAAAAAAAAAGGAAAAGGAAAGAAAAGAAAATGTGGTTGGTGTGGGGGGAAAAATCAAAAGATGTTTTCGTTTCTCAGTAAAAGAGTCGAACAAAAGGCAGCCACTTCATCGGTGTGGGGATAATGAGATGTTTTCTTTTTAACTGGCGACGTACATGTGAGTTCGATTACCCAGAAGGCAAGCAGGAAGCTCTCAGCCTCTCCGGGCTTATGCTCTGGGTTATGTGCCCCCGACTCCTGCTCTCTGCTGAGGTGAAAAAACAGAGTGCATAACAGTTTGGAGACATGGGACGGAGGATTATAGGCCTATTGGAGGTGGGTGAAGTAGGGGAAAAGGGTGGGCCGGTGGGAAGTAGTCAATATTCTTCCGATAACAGCGCTGCAATAATAACAGATGTGATAAAAAGTGAAATCAGGGGGAAAAAGGAGGTGGAGGAGGGGGGATGGGGGGAAGGGCGTACAACCTGAGCGGAAAATCATTCTTTCTTTCTTTCCCCTTCACTTTCTCTCCCTCCTCCCCCCACCCAACTCATTCACTTTCTCTCTCTCTCTCTCTCT